GCAGGAACCCTCATGTGTGAAGGTGGGGGAGATGCATGTGTGGGAACCTTCACGTGTGTGGGAGTGGGGGAGGTGTGCTGGGGGAAGCCCTCACTTGTTGGGGGGACCCTCACGTGTTGGGGTGGGAGAAGTGTCTTGACGGGGGCAGCGGTGTGGCTGTCACATGTGGAGAGCCTGGGGCAGGTCTCCCACCGCTGTCCTGTGAAGGGCCAACACGTGGAGGGTCTGGAAGTGATTGGGGCCCCCTGCCCTGTGTGCTGAGCTCTCACCAGCTGGCCCAGGGCCTCCTCTGCCTGAGGAGCCTCACTTCAAAGGCTGTGGGTGTTTGATGTGCAGGCGGCAGCCGGCCTACCAAGCCTGCCATTATCATCGCAAGGGCAGGGGCACAGCGCTGGGGGCGTCGTCGGCTGCCTGTTTGCATTTTGTGCTGGGCCAGGACACAGGGCCTGGGCAGGGGGCTGTGGCCCTTGTTGCTCGGTGTGGGGGTCAGCTCAGCGCCCCAGGCTGCTTCTGGCCTGTCCGTTCACCGTCTCGTGCTGGGGAAAGGGGACTCTGTCTCTGGCTGTCCCCAGTCCGTCTGTCTCAGTCTCCGAAGGCCCTTCCCTGGACAGAGGTTCCCTCAGCTCCTCTGTTGGGTGCTTGGTGGGAAGAGCTAGAGCCAGGCTTATGTTTCTAGAGTGAGTCAGTAGGTCTTGGTCTCCTTGGTGGGAGCAGATATGACATCTTGCTGTTGATTGAGGAGTAACGGGAGAGCAGTGTCAGGCTCCGGAGGCGGGGAGGGTGCTTGGAGTGTGTTGGGGCCCTGAATGCTAGGAGGCAGGTGCCGTCTGTGGGGTCACAGTGCCTGGGGAGCCAGCCCGTGTTGTTCTTTGAGAGCTCGTTCGTCTGAAGCCACAGCTTTCAGAGAAGAGGCAGTGGATTGGGGTGGGGAGTGTCCACTCGCCTGAGCCCTTCTGGTCAGCCCTAGACACCAGGGCCCTTCCGGTCGGGCTGTGTGCTCTGTGTTAGATTTTGAGGGCCTTGGCGTGGGTCATAGGGCCTCTTGGCCTGTCACTTGTTTTTTCAAGTTGTGGAGAATTTACAATGTAAGGTTTACTCCTTTAGCTAAACGTAAGTTTGTGATTCAGTTACATTCGTTCATAACGTGCAGCCATCACTGCTAATTCCAGAACATTCTCATCACCTCTAAAGTCTGTGGGTTACAGCCACTCTGTCCTCCTCAGTAACCCCACCAGCACACACCCTCGGCATTTGCTAATTCACTGTTTGTCTCCATGCCTTTGCCCAGTCTGGACGCTTCACAGAAGTGGGTCACACGGTCTATAGCCTTTTGTGTCCACTTTCTTCCACGTAGCGTGGTGCCTCTGAGGTTCATCCGTGTTGTGGCTTGTATCGGTTGTCATTCCTTTTTACGGTTGTATAATACTTCATAGTATGGACGGATGTGTTGTGTTTATCCACCATTTGTCTGATGGCCCGGGGCTGGTGCTGGCCGCCTGGCGCTGGTGCTGGCCAGGGCTGGTGCTGGCCTTCCTGACGTGCCTCCCGACGTCCCGGGCTGTGGCTTTGCCGTCCTGCTCTTCTCTGTGGATCTGCCTTGGGTGTGATGTTGATTCTTCTGGAAGGAGTCTTGCTTCTTCAGCTGGACTGTGAGCAGGGACAGGGCTGTGGCCAGTGCCTGTCTGCGCCTGCACCCCTGGGAGTGCTCAGAATCCCACGGTGGCCACTCCCGTCGGCAGGGGCCTGCTGTTGCGACTATTCCCATCCGAGTGCAGGCCCCCCTTTCCCAGTGCCTCCTGGGGGATGCTCTCATCTTGCAGGAGGTGCGTGGTGAGGGGGATGGGATGGCACAGGGGACAGCGGCTGAGCCAGTCTGGACGCAATGCTTACGACTGTCTCCCATTTGTGGCTGCCCCCCTGCTGATCCTGCCTGGGCTCCCTGGCCTTGGGGTCTGGGCTGGGGGATGACCAGGGGTGGGGCTCAGAGCCCTTGAATTCACTGCATCCCCAGGGTGCAGCTATGGGCTGTGGGCACAGGACCATGCTAAGACAGGGCCCTGCTGAGCTCAGTACCCCAACGTACCCTGGCTCTGTGGAGGCCGCCGTGCTAATGCTGTGGGGCGGGTCCCGGGCTCTGCACTCTCACAATTGCCCTCTCTCAGCAGCAGTGCTGGGCTCAGGTGGGACCCCCAGCCATGTGTTGAAGATCAGACATCGGTTGGTGCCCCTTGACCGTGGTCTTAGGACAGCAGTGGGGGCTCTGGGGGGGCTCTCCTGGGGCTAGGGGCTGTGGGCAGAGGAGCTGTTGCCCCTTGCCGTGGTCCTAGAGGCCAGCAAGTTATGCTCCCCGTCTGTCCTTCCAGGGAGTGCTTGGAGCAGCTGGGTGAGGCGACCCCTGTCTGCGTCTACATGAGGGACGAGGTAGGTGAGCTCCCTGGTCCCCTACCTGCCCCTTTCAACATGGAAGGCCACTCTCCCCAGACCTGCCTCACAGCAGCGCTGGCCCTGAGGCCCTAAAGGCATGATGGGTTTCATGGAAAAACCCCCGCGCTCCTGCTGGAGTGCCGCCGGCCCTGCCGGGCCCCAAGCCGCCCTCAACGCCCTGTTTGTTTTCTCAGCCTCTCTCAAGGCCCGAAAGGCACAAAAGTGGTTTCGTTTTAATAAATATTTGCTTTGCTCTGTGTTTTGATCTTTTTCAAAACAGAGTGGTGTGGGGCGGGTGCAGCCCTGGCACTGGGACCATGCTGTCCACACCCAGCCACTGCCTGGCGCCCCCCAGCCTCACAGTGGCCTTTTGTTTTGTTGCTGGCAGAGTGCCCCGCTCTAGGCAGGGTGGCCACTATCCCTGGGGGCCCAGTGGACCCTGATGCAGACGGAACTGACCCGTTTGCTCACAGTTTGACACCCCCAACCTGGGCCCCTGAGGAGGACCACGTGTCTCTCTGAAGCCCTGAAGGGCAGGAGGCTGCTGACACGGGAATGGGCTCCGGCCTCGGGGGAGACAGGGATGCCTGTAGAGGACCTGGGAACCCCGTACTGTGCTGCCTGGCCAACCTCCTCCCCGGCAGCCTTTCTGTCCCTGCCCTCAGGACCAGAGTGAGCCGGGCAGACCCAGCTAGAGGGGGTGGGGAGGACAGGGGCCCGGTGGGACATACAGACGATGGGGCAGGGGTGTGAACCAGAGGGGTGCTGTGGCCTCCGGTGGCTGGTGGGGTATCCCAGGTGCTGACGGAGGAAGGGCAGGCATAGGCCCTGCAGAGGCTGGGTCGTCCTTACGCATTGGGAACCGCCCAGGGCTCTGGGAGGGAGGAGGGGCAGCTCTGTTCTTGGGGTCCCTGCAGGCTTGGCCTTCAGGCCCGATGGTGGTAGGGTTTTTAAGGAGGAAAAGTGAGGGAGCAAGCAAGTCATTTGAGTTTCCAGGGCTGGTCCCTTGGCCTGACTGGCTTGAGGCTCCCATGAGGCCTGGGCTTGGGGCCCACCTGACGAGGCCTCCAGCTCACCTGCCCTGTCCCTCTCTCCACAGGTGACTGGCCCTGTCGCCTTGCGGACAACAACGCTGCAGTCCCTAGGCCTCACTGGGGGCAGTGGCACCATCAGGTCAGGAGGAGGCGGGGAAGGGCCCAGGGGCTGACGCTGCCTATTGTTATGAGAAATGGGTATCAAAGGAAAGGGAGCAGGACCCAGAGTAAAGAAGACCCGCCCTTCCCAGCAGCCCTGCAGCGGCCCATCGCCCCAGGGGCCCGTGGCCGCTTGCTTGCTCGGGAGGCAGGTGTCCCTGGCTCCTCCCTGGCCAGCCTCCTGTGGGCTGTGTGAGGGTGGGTGTGGCAGGTACCTGTGGGCTGCAGAGGGCTGGGGTACGGCTATGTAGCCTCTGGTCTGCTTCCCCCCGCCCAGCGTAGGTGGAGGTGACGGAGGGGTGGCCATGCAGTCCCCTGGAAAACCCCTGGGCTGCTTCCCCCGCCCAGCGTAGGTGGAGGTGATGGAGGGGTGGCTGTGCAGTCACCCTGGGCTGCTTCCCCCCTCTCTTGGAGAGAGCCTGTTGGTTTGTGGTCACTGGCAGGTGAGGGCTCACTCTCTGGGCTCGTCCGCAGGTTTGTCGTGAAGCCGTGCGGCTCAGCCAGCAGGCCAGAGCCCGTGGGCTCCCGGAGCAGGGCCTCAGGAAGTCCAATGCCATCCACTTCTGCCGAGCAGGCCGCCGGCCACCTTGTCCTGCCCCTGGACACTGAGGGGCTCAGCGGAGGTGACTTGAGCCGTCCGGAGAATGAAGGTCCCTCCGAAACTGCCCATGCAGGTGGCCGGGGCCTGAAGCCGCCGGACCGTCTGGAGAAACTGGACGTGAAGGCGCCCCCCCTGACCCCTTTTGTGCCCTTCTCGGGTGGGGGCCAGCGTCTGGGTGGCCCTTCTGAGTCTGCACGCCCCCTGGTGTCATTGTCCACCAAGTTACTCCAGCCCTTTTCTAGCCCTGGAGGGCCATCTGAGCCAAAGAAGTCAAAGCCTGGTCCGGAGTCCCCACAGGAGCCTGAGCCGGTGAGGGATGTCAGGGCCTTGGGGGGCTGGAGCGTGCCTGGGTGGTTTCTGGGAGGTTCCCTTCTACCCATGGGCAGCAGTGTCTGTGGTGGCCACAGGTGACCTGGGTAGCCTGGTGCTGGGACAGTTTGGATGCTCTGACATCGGGTGGTGGCTTTTGTGTTGAGCTCCGTTGTACCGAGGTGCGTGTCTGATGGGTCCCTGAGACACGTAAACCCAGGTTGTCACCGTCACACCCTGGACATTGGACGCGCCTGCACAGCCCTGCCCCCTCGCAGCCCCACCCCCCCACCAGAGTCAGCCTGGGTTTGAGCCCCTCCTGTTCCCTTGGTGACCAGAGCAGTCTCTTCTCAGCCCTGCCACTGGCTGATCATGCTGGGGTGGCTTTGGGCCTTGTTTATCCCCTGCTGAGTGTGTGACCCTGAGCCGGCCCCCGAGCGAGCGAGCGAGCTGGGCCCGAAGCCTGGCCGTCTGAGGGCCGCCGCCAGCCGGGTGGGGGCCTCAGAGCAATTTGAACTTGGCCCTAGACAGAGCAGGGTGGGGGTGGTAAGTGCACCCACTGTTGGGAGCCCTTTCACGTGTTCCAGAAGCTGAATGGGTGAGACGGTGGCTTCTGTGGGAGCCACCTCGGCGGGGTGGGGATCTCTCTGGCTGCAGTGAGCTGGCCGCCAGTAGAGTGCAGCTGTCACTGAGCTGGGTGACATGCCGCCAGCCAGCCGGCCTGGGGCCAGTGTTCGGACCCTGGCAGAAAAACAGTGCAGGCACGCGCCTTCCCCTGTCAGTCGGCTTCCCCCGGGTGGGGTTTGCTGCACACACTGCACCCTTTGTGGGGGCGCCGGCTTAGTTCAGACAGCAGCTCGCTGCCCTCAGCAACACCCCGCCTCCAGGCTTCACTCCTCCGGCCGTGGTCACACCTATCACTCCACTTCCACTTCCCTGACCACATGCTGACCTGTGGTGTGTAGGGAGTGGGCTACTGACCAGCTGGGGATGGCACCAGAGGGCAAGCGCCCACCTTGTGCCCGCCATCGGCTGTGCCTACAGGAGGTCTTGGGGCCGTGCCAGCCAGCCCTGCGTCTCCCCTCCCCTGGCGTCTCCTGGCCCCCAGCCCCTCTCTTCTGACAGCCCCCTCTTCTGGCGTCTCCCCTCCCCTGGCGTCTCTCCTGCTGTCTGATTCTCGCTCTTGGATGGCTGCCTGTGGCTGTGAGTTCCTCAGGGCCTGCCTCTCCTCTGTGGGCCTGGCGGCCAGAGCCGTGCAGTGCTCCCCTGGGGAGATGTGGCCAGCCCCCGGGCCTGTGGGCCGCCCTTCCCTGTGGAGTGGTGCAGGATTTTCTGTTGGGACGTCTCTGGGACTTTCCTAGTTGGGTTCAGTGAGTCACAGAGCAGTTTGCATTGGCTTCCTGGGGAAGCTGTTGTGCGGGCTGGGTGGCCATGCCAGCACGGCCTGTCTCGGGGGCTCCATCACATACCGCTCCCAGGGGTGCCTCATGCAATGGCATCTTCGGAAACATCCACAGCCCCATCTTTTCATCGTGCATAAAGGCTTCTTTACGGGCTTCTCCTGAGTATTCTGGAATGCTCCCAGTCCCTCGCCCTCCTTTGGCTCGGTGCTGTAGAGGGCTGTGGGTCTTCCTCCAGAATCCAGCTGAACAAGCCTGGGCTGTGGGTGCAGGGCAGGGAGCGCGTCCCAGCGTAGTCCCCGGCGGGAAGTGGTGCTGGCTCAGCTGCAGGCCTGGTGCCCTGGGTGTGCTATCTGAGGGAGATGGAGCGAGGCCTGTGCCCTGTGTTGGGGACACCGGGGAGGAGGCGCAGGCCCGGACAGCCCCTCAGCTGTGTGCCATCCACAGCACCCTGGCGTCCCACAGCACTGCGTGCTCCCGTCAGCTCCACGTTGACCCGTTTGTGTCCAGGCCGTCCCCAGCTTACAAAGATCCGACTTACAGCTCCTCCTTGCCTTTAATGTAGGTTTCAACCGATTCCCTCATGGCCCGTGAGGCGAAACAGGAACAGACTGGCATTTTCATAGTTCGGGTTATTCTCGATGGTGACCAGGACGGGAGAAAAGATGAGTCAGAGCCTTGGAGTGGGAGACTCAGGAGGGGTGTAGGGAGTCTTTCAGGAGCCCGACGGGAGAGACTGGACTGTGGGCAGGACTGCAGAGAGCCACACACCGTGCAGAGCGGTGCGGTTGGCCGCCATCTTTGAGTGGGGCAGCGCTGTTTTGAAGCCCTGCTTCCCTGTGATGTAAATCTGTCCTCACTTTCAAATGATTGAACCAACCCCTACTCGTAACAAACCTTTCATCATAGTCACCTTCCCTGGCTGCAAATGCAGCTTTTCAGGCTTTGCCTTGTGCTAAGGTGAGGTCCATGTCGGGGACGGCTCTCACCTGCATCCAGGGCTGTCTGTTCATTCTTCCCCGCGATCGCACTCTTGTAAGGAAGATCCTGCTTCCTACGGTGGGATCTGAAGAAGTGCCGAGATGCTTAGGGAGGTCGGCGGAGGCCACTGTGCCGACCTTCACGAGGCCGGATTCCAGACTCTGGGTAGTGGCGGAGGTGCTCCGGGTCTCGGCAGAGGGCAGCCTGCAGCCCTGGGCTTCTGCATTCCAGAGCTGACTTGGTAGGTAGTGTTTCCCCCTTCTTCTGCCCATCGCCATGTTTTTCAGACCTGCCTGTGTTCCGGACTGTTCCCCTGGCTCACTGCATGTTCCCTGTGTAGCTCTGGAGTGTGGGGCCTCCATGGCCTCTCCCCCAGTGGGGGACCTTCAGCTGCCGGGGCTCCCACTAACTACTCAGTGCTGTTGGGAGTATCCCAGAGTGTCCCCCTCCTGGGGCTGTTGGGGGGGAGCCCAGACCACTGAGTATGTGACCCTTGCACTGTGCTGCCCTGACCTGCAGCCTGGCTGTGCCCTGCACCTCGGCTTTTGGTTGCTGTTACGTGACTTCCGCCCTGTGTTGGCGTGACGTGTGTGACAGCATCCTTCGGACCAACCATGGATCATGTCAGGGCATTGTCAAGGCTGAACACCTCCTAACGGGCTTGCCAGCTGCTTGAGCCGGGCTGTCTGTGTGTCTGGGTCTCCCACTCCTGCTTCCTTTGCCCAGTCTACTTCTTGGCGACTTGTGAGAGTGCCAGGCATGTTCTGGTGGTTACCACTGCCTCAGGACGTTGGTGCACAGCCTTACTGGGCAGAGGTGTTTGGTGCTGGATGGCAAGACCCACCACGGTTTTGTTTTTCTGGTTTGTGCTTTGGGGTCTTAAAAAGTCCTTATTACTCCAAAGTCACAGAGCTGTTTCCTGGCATGTTCGCCAGCTCTGTGGTTTAGTCTTCCACACAACAACCTTTACTCCTTCTGGGCTGAGCTGGGTAGATAGAGTGAGGTAGGGATCAGTCCGTGTTGGTCTATATGCTGAACTAGTTGGCTGTGAAAAGCCTGGGGCAAGGCAGGAGCACTGCTTTCCAGCCCTGACTGGCTGACAATCTCGTCATACATCAGTGTTGTGCTTCTTTCTGCATCAGTTGAGACGATTGTGGCTCCAGCTCACAGATGTGGTGGGTTTTTGTGTGTGTACGTTGGGTGAAAGTTTACAGAGCAGGTTCTTGCAATGATCCCTTTCTGAGTGGTTGACAGTGGTAGCTAGGCACCATCTAGTTCTTCTAGTCTCAGGTCATGCAGGTTGAGGTTTGCATGGTCCACTAGTCCCTTAGATTAATTGTTTCCATGTGTCTTTGCTTTTCTTCGGGAGCTCTGGTGGCACAGTGCCTCAGGCACCTGACTGCTAACCAGAAGGCTGACGGTTCAAACCCACCAGCCACTCCTCAGAAGGAAGATTGGGCAATCTACGTCCGTAGTGATATTGCCTCAGAAACCCAAGGAGGGGTTGCTGAGTTGGCTCTGATTCAACGGCAGTGAGCTTTTTTTTTTTTTTTCTTTTGTTTTCTTTGTTCTTCTTTGCTCTGGATGAAGAGGCTGATTGTTGCCTCTGGATGGCCGCTTACAAGCTTTTAAGACCTCAGTGATCCTCACCCAAGTGGGACGTAGAGCAGTGTTTTGTGCAGTATGTTATGGAGTATGGCACGTTCTGTGATGCGTGTCCTCGTTGAGCCGCCCTCCATTCCCAGGCTCAATCCTCCTTGACTGGGGTGCACTTGGCTGTTCGCTGTCCTTAGTCCTGGTTAGCTGGCACTTTATCGCAGGTGTTCGTGTGCATGTTCTGAAGTGCAGTGGACCGCATGTCCCTTTACCAGCTGTGGACTCAGGTCAGTGAGAAAGAAAGAGGCTCTCGATGAGCTGGATTCACGCAGGGCTGCAGTGGGCTCAAGCCCAGCAGGGACTGCGAGGCTGGCGCAGGACTGGGCAGTGTCTCGTTCCGTTGCACGCGGGTCGCTGAGTCGGAGCCGACGTCTAACAGCAGTGATGACGTGGACCACTGTCATACGTAGTCTGGCTGTGCCCCTCCTTCTGTGGAAGAGAGGGGATTGTCCGGGAGCCCGTTGTTGCTGTCTGCTCTAGGCCCCATGGCCCTGAACCTGCTCGCGGTGGGGGTATGTGTGGATTGGCCGAGGGAGGCGGCACACGCATAGTGGCCTGGCACGCCCTGGGCCACGTGGCTCCACTGCTGCTGCGCCTCATCCTCTAGGGATCACGTGGGGGCCCTGTCTGCTCTGGGGATGTCCGCTCCGAGCTGTGTGGCCCCGTGGAGCTGTTCATGCTAGCTTGGCCCCTGCCTGCACCCCCTGGCAGCGCCCTCAGGAAGGCTTCTTTATGATACCACGCAAAGGTGTGTCTAAGCACGTGGGTCCCAGCACCAGCATTTGTGACTTCTCAAGGGTTCTGAACATTGAGAAGGCTGTGTTCATCAGTTCCAAACCCGGCCCCTGAGGTTTTCCAGGATGCAGCCTGCTTCCCCATGTTTGGGTTAGGATAGACTCGGTGCCACCTCCCTTCCTGGGAGGGTCCTCCTCAGAGGCTCTGCTCTGCCATCTTGGGCTGATG